GATATTTGAAGCCTGCCTGGTGTGGATATGCACTCAGAGTAACATCACAAGCATCTTATTCACCTGAGTACATTACACCAACACAGCAAATATCATGATTATTAGATTACATTGATATCGAAGGAACTAGACTCAGTTCCGAAATATTACATACTCGAACCGACCTGACCGCGTAGCTCAGTTGGCAGAGAATTGGGCTAGTATTCCAAAGGTCGTAGGTTCGATTCTCACCGTGGCCAGGCATCACTAGATTTTTCAAGCCTGCTCGGTAACATCACAAGCATCTTATTCACCTGAGTACATTACACCAACACAGTAAACTTGTAACAAGCTTGATGGCATTATCAGCCATGTTACGAGATTGTGCTAACAAGTTTGTTACAGCCATGATATAAGAAGGATGTCACAAGGTTGTAACAATCTTGTTATATCAAGCATGTCACAGACTTGTCAGAAAAACCTTGCAACAAGTCTGATAATTTCGACAAGGTTGTTACAAGTTGTCAACAAGTTGTTCCAAACCTTGAAACATGTTGACAACTTGTGACAGGCAGTGCGAATACATCTTGTGAACAGACTTGTAACAAACTTGTGCGTTTTTACGTGTGTAAGCGAACTTATTGTCAATTACATGATCGATTTAATTGCTCAATTTAATTATAATATACACGTGCACACTATAAGCACGCGAATGATAAGCCCCTAATATTACTATGGAGACACTAATTACCATGGCGACCACTGATTAAAATAAAAATTCTTAAAAAAATTAAACTATGACAGAAAAGGGCCGAAAGTCATCGAATAAAAACACAAAAAGTAAAAAGAAACGCAAGACACGCCGTCCGCATTCAAAGGATAAGAATTTAAGGGAATCATGTGCGCAAACACTGAAATTCGAGGAAAGAGTTAAAGGTACAGAAACAAGGCAGCGTAAACTAAAGCACGCATAAATACCGAAATGTCGAATACCGAGTTAAGGTTTAGGAAGCCAACTAGTTAATTGCAGCGCTACGAGTACTCGTTTCAATTCTAAAGGTCCAGACACACCGGACGCGATTCAACAACGCAATTAACGCGATTTTTCGATTTTCACTGACCATAGAGAGTCTTCTATATTAACTATGCACTAACCGATAACTTTGATCCTGGTATAAATTTTCCAAATATTTAGAAACGCAATAACATCTTTAGTTATTTGGTTTTATACTTCTTTCATTGGTTGTTTTATTAAATTTCAAAAACTGGAATTATTCTTGAAATAATTATTGAGTAAAATCTGCCTTCATTCTGAGTTCCCAAAAGCTACTAATAACGAACAGAAATCAGTCTCTGCACTTAGCAGTCAACTTTACGTTTATGTCAGCCGGATGGATAAACATACGAAAGACTTCGTCTTGGTATCGCAAAACTTGAGCTTTTCCATTCGTCCACAATTTTACATAGCAAAGTTTCTGGACCAGGAACTGGTCCCCAAAGGCTGCTATCTTCTTCTTGTTAGGAGACGACGGTGTTTGAAGCTGCAATCAATATTTGCAATGGCACGCACAGAACGGCAAAATTTGACGTATACGGCAAAAGTTAAATTTAGGAACGGCATATTTATTCTGAATATTGTGGGCAGGGACGTCGCTATAAGGGGGGGGGGGGGTAACACCCCCAATAATTCAAACGTTGGTCAAAGTTGATCAAAATGGAACTGATATTTGCCCAAAGTTTGTCAAAATCGAACTGATATTTGCTTAAAATTGAAGGTAAAACTCGGAAAAATTTGGTCAAAGTTTGGGATAAAAGATGGTCAAAGTAGCTAAAAGTTATGAAATGGTTTTAAAGCTTTCGTTATGTTTGCGGTGAAAAAATTGGATGCCTTGCTAATTTGGGTTGAGAATATGCTTATGTTAGTCCGGGAAAATTTTTTTTGACCACCCCCCGTTGACAAAATTTTCGACTTGGTCAAAATTCTAGGAATTGTTGGTCAAAACACGACGACCCCCCTCCCCGCCCCCAATGTTGATGGCTTCGCGGCGTCCCTGATTGTGGGACATTTAACTTATCTATCGAATTCGAATGCAAGGAAATACTTTTGAAAACTGCCCATTTAGTTATCTATGCTTTGTCCACATTTACACCCAGGGACGCCGGAACGATCATAAGGCAAAGGGGGGCAGACGCACACCAAGGGCACCTCTGTAAGAGCAAAAGATAAAAATCTACCGGAAAATTTTTTTTTCATGGAAATTTTTTAGGACGATCACCCCCCCCCGTCGCCAAAAAAATTTCGGTCAGTAGTGTAGCATTTTAGGGGTCAAAAAATTTTTCAGGACATATCTACATTTCCCGTGAAGTTAAAAAATTTTTCTAAATTCCAAAAATTTTCTAAAATTTTTCTAAATTAAACACATTCTTTACCAAATTCACACTTATTTTTGTAAATTAACTTTCTCTGGGCCTATAAATTACCTGAATCTCACGATTTTCCCAGAAAAAGCATCACTGGAAATGTGATTTATCACGTAGTATTTTACAACTAAAAGGGCACTTCTGCAGCCCCCTAGCAAAAGGCAAGGGGGGCAGCCGCCCCCCGTTCCGGCGTCCCTGTTTACACCTCATTTACACACGGCACTAGACACATTTTGCCCGGATAAAGTATATCTTGCATGACCAAATTAAAGCAAAACATTTAGCGAACTCATTATACGTTGACAACTTTCAAGAATCATTGGTTTCACAAGTGTCTAGTTATTTGTTTATCAAGTCAAAGACGATCAACGATTTGCACAAGATCGAAACTGGATCACGTAGTTCCTGGTCCATTATAGTACGATCGCACTTGTTTAATTCCAAAGTTTTACAAAGTAATATATTATTTTTCCCCGAAAATAATTAAAATCAAAATGAACAATGGAAGCCGATCGATGTTAATAACAGCAGTTATTAACAGTTGGTTTCCTTCATTTTACAAAGTTAATTTACTTTTAAAGTGGAAATGGATCATTTTCATCAGTCGTTCAGAGTTCGACTATAGCATCACTTGATCGTTTTTCACACGAAACACCTTACGCTGATGCGGTAAACAACAATTTTGTGAAGCCCGCAAATGCTCCAGAGGCAGAGTTTTGGACGACCAAAGAAACTGCAATATGACCAACCTATAATGGATCTCGGAACAAGTGAAAACGCGGATAGAGAGCCGTTCGCCCAATATTTCACTATTACTAAATATCAGTGCACTAATTGTCCAAGAGCGGACACAAAATTCCCCAACTGAGTGCCAGTTTAATTTACAGTCTTAAAAACACACAAAAATAGACAAACAGCCTCAGGCCAGGGTCAAACGTCGAACTTTTCATGCACCGAACCTAATGCATGTTAATGAGCTAAGTTCTTTGTTTCACTTCATTTGCATTAGGTTCGCGGCGCATGAAAAGTTCGACGTTTATTTGACCCTGGCCTCTCACATGCGTTGAAATACTATATTTATGGCTTATATTTGTTTTTTTTTGTCATTTTGATTGACTGAAAGATTATCTTTAACTTTGACTCCTATTAAATGTTCTGACGAATGAATCTAGAGACGATGTTTGTGATGTTACTCTGAATTGAATACCCACACCGGGAAAGCTTGAAAAATATATCTGCAGGCCACGGTGGGAATCGAACCTATATACAACCTTTGGAATACTAGCCCAATGCTCTGCCAACTGAGCTACGCAGTCAGGTCAGTTCGAGTATCTGACATTTTGGAACTACATTGCATCTAGTTCCTTCGATATCAATGCAATCTAGTAATCATAGTTTTTTCTGTGTTGGTGTTATGTACTCGCGTGAATATGTTTGTGATGGTAGAATTCTACCGTGGCATATTTTTCAAGCTTGCCCGGTGTGGATATACACTCAATCACAGAGTAACACATCATATTCACCTGAGTACATAACACCAACACAAAGAATCTAGAGACGTTTTCTTACTTCACTAAACCGTACACTCAACCGGTCAAAGGCAAAGGTTTATGCAGCACGTCACTGTCGCCTGTCGAAAGGAAAAACTCAAGTCTTCAGTTTTTTTCGTATATGTCTTTCAGAAAAAGTTGACGTACGTAAAATGAATATGGATCGAAAACAGGAAACCTCATCAGAATCAATACATGATTATATCGAATGTAGTACATTGCAGCAATCGTACCTTGAAAGTTCAACGGCAAGAAGTTTCGAGCAGATAATATCGAGGAAGTTAGCAAACAAAACCATCGAGCATAATTCAGAGCAAATACCGCAACTGAAAAGCGAGTTCTCCAGTTCTTTGGGTGATGTCATTTCCACAACAAATTGTGCAACAGGAAAATGGCAGCTTTCTCAAAACATCGGGAATTCAGAGACAATGAGATGGCAGGATTGCTGCGATGATCCAATTAAGGAATCGCAAAGAATGGAGAAATATAAAACCGATCGGAGGCAGAGGTATTACGATCACGCAAAAAACAAAACGACAACCAGTCGCTATTATGCCGAAATTTAGGCTCTTGATTTCCTGCTACTTGATACAATATACTAGATTTACGGCTTATTCATAACATCAACTAGATCTGAAGTAATGTTCAACTTTCGTAATATCAATTCACTTGGCCAGTGTAGGTATTGTCAATGGCATAATGCTACCTCGGAAGGCCCCTGCCAATCGGCCGTCCCCGGGTCTTCCCCTACCCCCACTAAAGAATAAGCTGCATTGTTTATCGCAAAATTATAAGCCAATCAGCTGGAGGAAGGCCTATTGTGAGAATATTTGTAATGAGAGAATTCATGCAATTTAATAACTACTGTACAATCAAACTTTTTATGGCCATTTTTGCCGAGCTCCCCCCCCCCCAGGCGTGCCCATTTCCCCATCACTTGACACTCGCCAGTTACGCCACTGGATCTGTCGACGATAACAGCTGCGGACTGAGAGATTTACAACTACCTAATTATAAGCAGAAGTTCGGAGTTTCCAGCGAAGGTCCTTCCTCTGGAAGGTAGCGTAGGGCCTCCGCTCGAAGCGTCGAAGTTCTGTTTGTATTTTCAGGTTTATTTTAAAGTAGAATCGATTCGCTCCAGATATATATGGAGCACATTGGGTTGCAGCTGCAAACGAATTTTGCATAAATTTATACCTTATTTATGTTAATAAAGAATGACAATTTCGTCTATGAGTTGAATATGAGAAGAAATCTTTGGAAATATAGAAATATACCAGAACTGCATATCTTTCCCTGATTAAGAGATAACAATTGGTAGAAGTTAGCGTTTCAAATTGATATAGAACTATCTAGTAAAAGTAAATGAGTTAATCTAGCTACATCTAGACGTAACCTTGGAATAGTAAGAAATAATAATTACAACAGGACCTCAAGGAATAACTGTTTCCTGTCGTGGTAACACTGGATCAATAAAAGATAATCCTTGCTGAAACTTTAGGGAGAAAAGTTTTAAACTAATAGAGCTATCCAGTATAAATAACCGTTAATTCAGTTAAGGTTTCCTCCCATAGTAACTGGATATCGATTAATAAGAGACGATCCTTACTGGGTCTTCAGGGAGAACAGTATATACAGTCGAACCCCTATTAAGCGGACACCTTTGGGACCTCGCCTAAGTAGCCGAATTCATATTAGAAGACGGATTTCCGTCTAAGACGGGAAATTCGTCTCAGACGAGAAACTCGTCTTGATATAAATTCGGTAAAAGACGGGTTTTCCGTCTCAACTTTTCCGTCTAACTTTCCCGTCTGAACGACGGGAAAGTTAGACGAGTTTCTCGTCTTAGACGGAAATCCGTTTTAAATTTATATCAGACGAATAAATCAAGACGGGTTTCTGCTCGTAACGTTCAAAAGAGATTGGGATGGAGGGTCTCTTATTTTTTCGGGTTTATCCGTCCGATGGTTTTCGTTTCATACTTATACCAGACGGAAATCCGTCACACGAGTTTCCAATCTTAGACGGAAATCCGTCTTCTAATATGAATTCAGCTAGTGTCCGCTTAAAAGGGGTGTCCGCTTAAAAGGGGTATGTAGAAAACACAGCAGGAGGCAAAGGTGTGTAATTAGGTGTGTGATTTGAGTATCAAAACAGTAAAAAAAATCTAGGAAATAATTAGCATAAAATGAAAAATTCTTTGTGCATAAAAGTTCATTAGAAAATGTATACGTCTCTCACAGTCATATAAGTCGCGACTTATTTTGTCACGTATGAATGCCCCTATTGTGTTGCTATGTGTGACCAGGGCGTAATAAAACACGGGCGAGGAAACGCGCTGATATCGCGCTGATCCATGTGTGATGCGGCTGGGGAATGGCACGAGCGCGCGTTTTGAAAAAAATCAAGAAGAAAAGCGAAAATGGCAGCGAAACGAATATTTGTTCAAGAGCTGGATGTTCCGAGTTATAATAAAGTTATGTTTAAACTTTAACCTAAATATTCAGTGTAATATCGAAAGAAAAGCTACTATACTTTCATTTTACTTTATAATAATTCACAATAAATGCACTTCCTTTTAATAAATAAATGTTAATCAATATGTTTTGATTTTTATTTCTGTTAAAATCTATCATTTTTAAGTGCTGACAATAGATTTTACATTAGTTTTTGAAGTCCATAGATTCTGCTAGGTAAATTTGATGGCGCAAAAAGTTGCCAAAATTATAATACTTTACACTACTTAATACAGCTAGACCGGCTTTTACTGGCTTTTTTGGCTGTACTAATTTTATTTTCATGAAGTTAAAAACCTTTTGTACATCAAGCAAAAGTAGCTATTAATTTTTGTTGCTGGCAACAGAATAAATGTTTAATTACGTTCTCAAAAAGCCGTCAAGTGCATAAATTGGCTATTAGTAAAACGTGCACACGGAGCACGGAGCACGGAGCACACGGAGCACGGAGCACACGGAGCACGGAGCACACGGAGCACACGGAGCACGGAGCACACGGAGCACGGAGCACACGAAGTACGGAGCAGTAGAAAAACGAAAATCCTTTATAATAAAATACACTGTTTACTATTCCAAATTTTTGTTATTATTAATAAAGATTTTTCGCGAATTTACACGTTGGGGAAGTAGGAAAATGGGACTTTTACTGAAAAACACATATGATGCAAAACTGCCAAAAGTCATAGTATTTAAAATAGGATTGTGAAACTCGTTATCTTACATCTATCAAGGTTATGTAGTTATATTATATTCCGTTGGCCAACGCATAAAGAAACACTTACTGTAGAGAACAGCCGATATATTTCGTTACCCCTGCCAAAAATAGCCAAGTACTCATCTTTCAATGTAGCCGGGATCGACTGAACATTAAAACTTGTGATGGAGAGAAGTGAATTTTCGGTTTTATATCCTTCGGCCCAGTGTGCTGTACGTGTTTCCTGACTGCCGGGCACGTAGTATTTTAAAAATACTGCCCGGCAGCCGCATGTATAGACCAGTATTTCGATTCCGATGGAATTATAAAGTTTGATAGTTTAGTCTTTAGATACATGTGATGGATATTTTGACATAGCCTAAACTAGATAGAGTACACACAATATGCGTTACAATAATGCGTACAGCCGTTTACTTTTGGTCCAGTAAGCTAACAAATCGTACAGCCGTTTACTGTCTTTTGAAGTCGAGTACGTGTAAAAAGCATACATTCCCAAATACTTGGTCGAGTACGCACGCATATCGAAATGCACTATTATTCGAGCTATTATTTAGGCCTTCCCGATTGCGCTGGTAAAATCCAAACAAAGTTCTGGCAAAAAGGGCTAACTGAAAGTGCTCAAAAAGTGCTCAAAATCTCAAAATAGTGCTCAAAAAGTGCTCAAATTGTGAACAGTAATATACCTCTATAAAGATTTTCGTAATTTTTTTAAAATCAGCATTTTTTAAAAATCTGTTTCCACGTCTTTCTCCATATATGGAACAAACTTCCGTATATGGAGTTGTTTACGACAAAAAAAAGAGAACGCGAAAAAGTCAGCGTTCTAATTTTTTAACCGAATGTCATATGCAGCTGTACGGCTTTTCTTTTAGAGTTTTACCTAAATTATATATAGAATAATAGTATAATACACGTCAATTTTTAAACCTTAAACCGAATTGGATGTTTAGAGGGCCCCCTATACTTTTTGCGTGAAGCGTGAAGGGCTTATTTTACTTAGCCGTGAAACGTGATCGGGCCCCCTATACGTTTTGCGTGAAGCGTGAAGGGCTTATTTTACTTAGCCGTGAAACGTGATCGATGATTTTCTTAATCCGTGACTCGTGAAAAGGCAAAATATTTTTACGTGAAAGCATATTGTGAAGAGGTATAGGGGGCCCTCTGTTTAGTTAAGGGGTGGGGGGTGAATAGGTTTTCGGATCGTCTACAGTATAATATTGTGAATGATTCCGAATATTCAAAACGGATTGAAAGAATGCGAATTCAAAGCAGTAATTATGTACTGTATAACGGTTTAAACGTAGGCCGTACAGCACACGGTCACTGCCGCCACTGAGCCGAAGGATAAACCGAAAATTCACTTCTCTCCATCACAAGCTTTTAATGTTCAGTCGATCCGCTACATTAAAAGATGAGTACTTGGCTATTGTTTGGCAGGGGTAACGAAATATATCGGCTGTTCTCTACAGTAAGTGTTTCTTTATGTGTTCGCAATCGGAATATAATATAACTACATAAGCTTGATAGATGTAAGATAACGAGTTTCACAATCCTTAATGGCTTTTGGCAGTTTTGCATCATATGCATGTTTTCAGTAAAAGCCCCATTTTCCTATACTTCCCCAACGTGTAAATTCGCGAAAAATCTTTATTAATAATAACAAAAATTTGTAATAGTAAACAGTGTATTTTATTATAAAGGATTTTCGTTTTTCTACTGCTCCGTACTTCGTGTGCTCCGTGCTCCGTGTGCTCCGTGTGCTCCGTGCTCCGTGTGGTCCGTGCTCCGTGTTTTACTAATAGCCTTTCCTCAAGGCCTCGAGAGGTCAAATCCTCACGAAAACTATCCGCACACGAGAGAAACTTGCTAAGACAGTGTGGGGCAGGCTTAAGATGACATGACTTCATGACATGACATGACCATAGATATCTTATATACACTAGATAGTGCATCTAATTATTCTGCAATTCAAAAATTGAAGCCGTGATTGCAGAATCAGGATATTCCCATGAAATGAGAAGACTCGTATGTTTTCTATTTTTTAAACAGGGAACTTAAACATTAAGTTAAACCTATTCCAAATACATTTTCAAACTATTCAAATGATGAAAGTTATTGTTGTTTTTAAGCGTTTATTAGCGAGTGGGAAACTCCAACATGGCCGCCATCCATTCAAATGAGGGCAACCGCTGGAATATTCTTGGCTTCAATTTTACTAAAGGAGATGCGCTATCTAGTTCATATAAGATATCTATGGACATGACTAGCTTCACTATGAACAAATCTTTTGAAATTTTGCAGTACAATTGAACGTCGAGTTAACCAGACGATGCTA